GTCACCGCTCCCACCGCCCCTCCGGGCGGCAGGTTTGCGGGGAGGGGGGGAGGCCCCCAGCCGGCTCGCAGGGCCGCGCTCGCCGCCTCCCCTTGTGTCCCCCCTTCACCTCTGCTAGTTCGCTGCCGGAGCATTGTCTCCAGACACAACAAACCCAGAAAGGAGCGCTGGAGCAGGCAGAGCTCCAACGTTTTGACGGGTGGAAGAAAAACATCAACAGATACTTTGCAATTATTTGGTGATGGGGGCTAGGGGAGGCGGGCGGGGGAGAGGTCGGTTCGCAGCAGCAGACGCTAATTGCAACCTTTGCTTTGCTAATGAGCTCGCACCGGTTCATTCCGCGCTCCGTGTGTCGTCGTGTCCGTCCGTCCCCCCCCAGGCGGAGCGCTTGGGGGGCGGGGAATGGCATCGGGAGAAAACCGTAATTTTTCTGCAATTCGTTAGTCGGGTTTAAATCCATCCCCTCCTTGAGAGGCGAGGTTAGAAGCGCTGGCCGCGAGCACTTCCATAAATCCTGGCTAAGGGAGAAGGGCGAGCAGCTCCTCGCTGGCGGAGGCGAGGGGTGGGGGGAGCGCCCGGCTCCTCCTGCCCGCCGGGCAGCGCCGGGACCCCCGGCCCAGGGCGGCGTGCCCCTCCGCTAGCCTGCAGCTCCAGACCTCTTTCCCACAATCCGAGCGGGGAAATACGTACCTATACATACACACACACACACGTACACAGAAAAAGAGTTCCAGGAGAAACTCGCGTCGAAAAGGCAGCGCGAATGTATTTATACTGGGCAATCTTGCAAGCACCGACATTGTTTAAACAATTCTCTTCTGCTCTGGACGATATTATCAGTACTTTTACATTATCGTTCAATGGAAAACATTCTTCTTTTTTCCCTATTTCAAATATTTATTTTAAAAAAAAAATTAAACTCGGCCGCTTAAATGTTCTGGCAAGTAAATAAATTCCAGGAACGGTGGGGGGAAAACGGCTATGGCGTTTCTTCTAAACCGAGCGCTTGCCTTCCGAGGGACCGCGGCTGCAGCGATATGACCTGTTTATTCATCGATTCATAGAATATATAAATATCTCGAACTCACGAGTGTAATAATTTGCGTTTTTTCTACTGGAGGAAATTCAGCTATTTTAAGAGTTAATGGTTCTAAATGTGTTGGTTTTCCTGCATTCTCCCCAGAGGTGATGGGGGCTGGAAGGGAGGGAGGACTCCAGTTTGGGGGGGTTCATTGTTGTCGTTTTAATTCTGCTGAACGCTGCCTAGAGCAGCTGACCCGAATGTGGGGTAATACACCGCACAACCAAGCCCCCTGACACCTAAAGGTCAGGTGAAAGTCTCCAGCAGGTAAGTCGCGGGCCGGCTGCCTGCCCAGCTCACTTGCTCTCTGGCTCACAAATTGTTCACTTCTGCCCACCCAAGTCGTTTCAAGCTGTGTTTATTTAGGGGGCAAAAAAATTGCCGACCACCCAATTCCCATTCAGCTGGAGAGCTCGGGAGCTCTCACCGGTAGCCCGGGCCGTCTTCTCCCCCATCCCAATGCTTTTTAATAGCGATTCCTTTGCGGCACACGCG